AACCATCCGGAATCCACCCGAGGCCCCCGGGACCTCAACCAAAACTACCAACCAATCCCAAAACACATTACGGACTTGCTCGAGACCTCAAATCATATCAAACAACGCTAAAACCATGAGTTACACCCCGATTCAAGCTTTATGAACTTTGAACTTTCCAACTTCTACTTCCGATGTTTAAACCTATCAAATCATGCCCGATTGACCTCAAATTTTGCACACAAGTCATATTTGACATTACGGACCTACTCCAACTTCAGAATCGGATTCCGACCCCGATATCAAAAAGTCCACTTCCGGTCAAACTTCTCAAAAACCTCCAAATTCCTATCTTTAGCCAAATGGCTCCAAAATGACCTACGAACCTCCGAATTCACTTCCGATCACCCCCAACTCCAGAATCACCATACGGAGCTATTCACAGTCTCGGAATCCCAAACGGACATCGATAACACTGAAATGCTCTTCAAGCCAAACTTATGAAATTTCTTCTAAAATGCTAACATCCACAATAGGCACCGCTCCCGGGTTATCCAAAACCCGAACCGGGCATACGCCCAAGTCCGAAATCATCATACGAACCTGCTGGAACCTTCAGATCCCGATTCCGAGGTCGTTTACTCAAAATTCCAATCCTAGTTCATTATTTCAACTTTAAGCTTCCAAAATAAGAATTCTCCTTCTAAATTAACTCTGGACTTCCCGAAATTCAATTCCGACCACACGTACAAGTCACAATACCTGAAATGAAGCTGCTCATGGCCTCAGACTGCTGAATGGCGCGCTAGGGCTCAAAACGACCGGTCGGGTCGTTACAAATTAAGTCCATAATAGGAAGCCTCGTTAATTAAATACTGCGGTCCCTGTTGTGCCCGAAAAATTAGGAATTAAATGAAATTCTATTTCTTGGTGGAAAAGGAAGACCCAACAGGTTTAGGAAAAGGGTTTCGAACCCTAAAACCTGTGGCTATATAAAGAGGTCTTATTCCATAAGGAGGCAAGGTTTTTACCACATGCTTTTCTTAGGAGAAATTCGCCCACACGAATTTCGCTAATTCCAGGCATTATTCGGGTCACACAGCAGAAGATTGTGGAATTGGAGGATGATCTCGTGGACGGTTTTGTCTTGCTTGGAGGCTTCNCCGGATCATCGGAAATCATATCCGAACCTTCGAACTCATAAGTCAACGTCCGGTTGACTTTTCCAATTTAAGCCTTCCTTAAAGAGACTAAGTGTCTCATTTCCTATCCAAACCAATTCAATTCAACTCTAACTCACTCGTTGCTGATAATGAAATATGAAGAAGCAATAAATGAGGAAAACAGGGCGGTAATACCTGATACGACGGGTCGGGTCGTTACACGAGTAGTATAAATGGATGTGTATAGGTCGCAAGCTAAAGTATGGTAGAGCGACAAAGTTTTGAGGAAACATGAGTAAGGATGAGGAAAGGCAAGTGAAAAGGTGACGATAATGGATAAGTCTTTAGGATTAAGCCCATGAAAACAAGAAGAGCAGACGGTTTCTCTATGTTATACAAAGCTCACTATAGCCTTAATGAACTCAAAGGAGTCTAAGATTAATAGCATTTAGAAGGAATGAAATGCTGACCTGGTAATAAAATGAGGGTATAATTGTGACAGATAAAGGATGACGTTTGGGCCTTCGTTTGAATAATGATTTGAAAAGAAAAAAAAAGAACGAGAAAAGATTTCGTTGGCGGCACGAAATTAGGATACCCCCATAAGGTGAATCACATTGAGACACTATGAAATACGATTATGGGAATTACTTTGAATATTCCTTGATGTAACCTAAGCCCTAGGGGCAAAGTATTACGTAAGAAGCTTCAAGTTATCAGTGGTATATTGTAGATCAATATTGAGGTGAATCAACAATGGATGAACAAAAGTCACAAAGTATGAGATGAGATTAGGCCGTCATTCTAAAGATAAGCAGTAATGAGGAAGCATTAAAGGACTTAAATTTATACATTTGGAATAAGCAACGAGAGTAAGCTGGGATTTGGTAGCAGACCTCAGCAACGAGAAATTAAAGTAAGAGTTATGGCAGTAAATTCATACGGATGGCTAAACGGACCTATGCGATGAGATAAATATTAGTGAATTCAACAAAGTACTGAGCGAAGAACTTCAGTATACTCATAGATGCCCAAAGGGACATCTTATCAAGCACTACATATGAAGCCTAGAGATTGGGCACACTTACAAGGTCAAAATTGTATAGGCTGCATGATGAAAGGTAGCAACAGTTACGAGATTGGAAGAATTTCGACTACAAGTTGTGGTGTGAGAAGAAGACCTAAGGGGGGAATGCCCTGGACTTTGGACTCATTCACAGAATAGTCGCCTAGATGGCAAGGGAATTTCTAATGTATTCGAAGATATAAGTTATGAATATGATAAGTGCATCAGTCAACATTCGAGGACGAATGTTCCAAAGGGGGGAATGATGTTACACCCCAGGTTTTCGTGCATGAAAGTACGCCATAAGTAAAGTGATGAAAGTCCGAAAATGAGATATTATATTTTGCATTTTCGTACGTTAAAGCGTCGTCGTATGTTAAAGCTTCGTCGTAAGATTAATCGACGTAAATTCGGGAATGAGATTTATTTTGGATTATAAGTATTACGCTATTTATAACAAGCGATAAATAAGTGCTATGAAGAATAAAGGGGTACATGGATTAAAGAAAAGGAGTTTCGTTAAAAGTGGCTAATTTGGGATAAAATACGGGTCGAGCGATAATACCCGATAATTATAAACTAGTACCATGCAAGGTACCATATGACCACGGTAGTGTAATATATAAAGTATATATAAAGTATTTTGGAAATAAATAGAATTTTAAATAATTTGTGATAATTTTTAAATTATGCGGGTAATAGATTAATTATCGGGTAACAAAACTTTACCCGATTAACTAATAAGCGGATAAGATTAAATCCCTTCCCCAAGAAAACGTGGCAGAAAGGACACTACTTAAGGATGACTCATATGGAATATTGAGTAGGTGGCAGTAACATAACTTGAAGTCTTATCAAAATAAGACTTAAAAAGACTTTTAGTCTTAGGTGTTAAAAACTAAGACATTTCTGTCTTTTACCATTATCAAAATCGTTGTTTGCCTTAGGTTCAAAAGAGTAGTTGAGGCAGAAACATTTCAATTCAAAAGCAAACCCTTCAACTGAAGCAAATTCGTCCAACTCCAACAAAATTCAAGCAAAGTTCGATCTAATTTGAGAAGCAGAAGCTTCGTTTTCTCGTTACAACATATTTCACGGAAGCAGAAGCTTCACTTCGATCAATTAATTTAAGGAACAGGTATGTTAAGGCTATTCGTTCTTTCTTTTGGCATGGTCCATATTATACTGAAGAAACGAGCAAATACACAGTTTCTATAAATTACTCTATTCATAGAAATAGTTGGGGTGTCTATATTCTTGATTCCTCATGAGAATTATTATTATCTTCTGTTCATGGGTCTCAGAATAATACGCAGTTGGAAAGTTTATCCGGAACGAATATCGAGATTATTATGTAGTTTTCATGCATTTCACTCATTTATGCATGTGCATTGACCCATGACCAGACATTATATACGCGTATATATGTAAATATATGTATATGGGATATGGGAAAAGGTTACGGCGTTAGATACACACCACCACCTGATCAGCTGGTATATGATGACGATGTTGCCCACAGTGGCTGAAATATGATTCAAACGGCGTTATATACGCGTATATATGTATGTATGTATATATATGTATATGGGATATGGGAAAGGTTATGGTGTTATATACGCACCACCACCTGATCAGCTGGTATGCGATGATGATTTTGCCCACAGTGGCCGATATGATATGATGGGACGCCCTCATAGGCTGATGATGTTATGAAACATGTACCTATGCACGACATGGCATTCATACGCATATGTATGACGCTAAAAGTAATTTATGATTTACAAAGTTATCCAGACTTACAGGTTGAGTCATGTACTCTATATTTCTTTCATGTCTCTTATGTATTTATTTATGTGCCTTACATACTCGGTACATTATCCTTAGTGACGTCCCTTTTGCTTGGGGATGCTACGTTTCATGCCTGCAGGTCCCGATAGACAAGTCGAGAGCCCCCCAAGTAGGCTATCAGCTCAGCGGAAGATGTTGGTGCGCTCCATTTGCTCCGGAGTTGCTCGTTTGATTAGTATGATTTAGACGTGTATTGTTTGGTAAGGCGAAACTCTGTCCCGACATTTATGTACTCTTAGAGGCTTGTACACATATGTCGTGTATATAAAAGATTGTACGGCCTGGTCGGCTTGTGTTTTGAGTTTATAAAGGATCATGTTGGCCTATTAGGCTCGTATGTCATGTGTATATAATGATGTAATAAGAAAGATACGTTACGTTGGTACTCGGTTGAGTAAGGTACCGGGTGCCCGTCACGGCCCATCGGTTTGGGTCGTGACAGCATTAAATACTGAAAATGTTAGAGAATCTGTATTAAATTACAATGATTATATAACGTAGCATTTAATGCCTTTAATCGTCCATAATGATCTTATTATGACAAAGGCAAAACGTATAACTTAAAAATAGCTATAAAAGGGAGAAGACTGATCATTGGTAAGGGGACAAAATAATCAACTAAATATATTGGATTACTTTGTTTTCTGCTATCTATTTGTTATCAAAATCAATTTCTTTTATTCATTTTCGATTATCAGTAACCCGAGTTCTTCTAAAAATAAAGTTTTGACTGAAATTCCATTTTTTGGTTAAACAAGTTGGTACCAACTTTGAGTGTCTATCTATAAATTTTTCCAATTTAAAATATTAATTATTATTTTTTATGAGACTACTAATTATGGAGTAGTGATATTTATTAGGTAGATTTTCTTCCCAAATATTATATAAACTTACTTATAAATAGCTTAACCTAAAAAGAATGTTTTTGCATTCTAGGTATGCCCGCCTCTCTCTTTCTCCCTAATCCCTATTCAGCACCCGGTCCTCCGGAATCCCCTCTCACTCGTCGTTGTGAGGTTAGTTCCTTTCTTTTATTTCTTGTTTGTTTTCATTTTCGATAAGGATGTTATAGTGGCGATTTTGCCTTCTCTCAACTCTAAATCTTAAATAATTTAATTAATTCAAGAGTTTACTACTTCGAAAATCGATTTTTTGCATGGATCAGTTGACTTCTTTGATTAGGATTACAAGTTAAGAAATATCCGTATATACGGTGAATCTTCTCTATAACAATTTTGTTTGTTTGGATTATAATTTTGGCTTTTATATTGATTTGCTGATACACATCTATAGTAATTTTTGATATTTAAATATTATTTGACCGATATAGACAATGATTTTCCAAAGAAAAAATCAATTTCTTTACCGTTATAAAAGATAAAAAAAATTATTTAAATTTAAAATCTCAATAAAATGTTAAATAGAAATATATGTACAAGATCTTTCAATAGTATGAAATCTTTAATGATAGATTTAAGTATTCATGTAATATTCTTTATCATAAGTATCGCGTTAAATTTTTTAAATATTTGGTCAAATCTCTAGATTTATTATTGGTAGTTTTAGTGAGTTTATTTCTATGATGATGGCTATTTTATTACCCCAAAGAAATAGTTGTTATAGAGGGGTAGTTTTACAAAGAGTGTACTCTTATAAAGATGGTTCGTGCTGTTATAGGTAAAAGAATTGTTGAATAGACCTAAAATTTTATTGGAAAAATATGTTCTGAAAAAAAAAATTGATTTTTATGATGAAATGTTGTTATATAAGGTGACTGGTATAGAAAAGTCTGATTTTACATTTTAAAAAAAATCTTGATATTGACATATACTCTAACAGAGACGTAGTATACAACTCCTCACATGCAACTAGGCTGTCTCTTATCGAGGAATTCTATTCTTCATACTCATCATCTGAATTTTAGCAGCTACTAAGAACTTTTCAAAGATATCACAACACAACACAACACAATTCACTCACATAGCCATATTTTTAGTTTACACCCGCATAACCAACATTCTTTTGCAAATACATTCTTATATATTATTATACAATATTTATACACCTTTATAGGCAATTTATCTCCATTCTATAAAAGTGTGTAAGTGTATAAAAATATATCGAACTTGTATGAATTGTATAGCAATGTATAAACATTGCTAGCCACGTGATTAACTTCTTTTGTATTTTTAGTTACAATTCTTGTTCAAAACTAGTCCAAAATTTCCATAAAATGACTTCAAGTTAGGTAGACATCCTCCTTAGATTATTCTCAACAAGTCTTAACAACTCTCACCCCAAAACTCTTACAAAAATCAATTCGAAATTCAAATCTATTTTTTCAAGCATGTTCAACAATAGGAGTAGCTTTGCTAAGATGATTTCCACCGACTAAGTCTTAAAATATCTAGTACTTTAATCACAATTTGCTATTTCTCCCTTGTTATTTGTGTAAAAAAATACGAGAAAGAGGTAAGGGATGGCAAGAGATGTGCCATTTCTTGAAGAGAGGATGACGAAGAAAGGAGAAGACAGAGGAGAATGGGGAGGGAAAGATATTTATAGACTTACTACAATGTAAAAGGAAAAAAAAAAGGATTAGGCTCAATTATGAAACAAAAAGAAAAAGTGGGCTAAGTTTTGTTATGATGACATCCCATTGGTATTGTCATGTAATTATCTTTTACCTTGTCCCTGTCTTTCTTGAAAATTAGATAGGAGGTGGTAAACCTTATATTAGAGTATAACCGCCCTCAAGGACAAATATTGGGTTTATCCAAACACAATGTTTTTGACTCATGCCCCTTTTACGTATTAAATTTTACTAAATAATTGATTTTATTTTCGGCAAATCAAGTGCTCATCAAGCCAACTTTGCTCTTTGGGAGTGACCGCTTCCATGTTTTCCCCCAATTTCTCTTTCCTCGGGTATTAAGGCTTGCCCTTCTTCTCTCACGAGCTTTTTCCATTCTCTTTCTTTTTTTAAAGATTGGAATGGAATCTTTCGGTAATGGTCTAACTTCTATTATAATTTCAAATAAAGTTCAAGTCTTGGATCTGCCTCTAGTATCTTTCTGTCAAGTTATGAAACAAAAGAGTAGAATCAATGGGTCGAAAGACAGTTGTTGACTGTTGTTAAACCAAAAAAAAAAAAAAAAAAAAGAGTACCAACGGTTATAGATATATCAAACTTACATATGACTTGGACAATTGTATTTTAATATCCTAACAAGAATCTTGTATAGGTGTTTCATTAATCTGTAAGTGGTCTGATTTTTCTCTTCCCTCTTCGATTTCTCCCTTTTTTAGTCATCTACTTTCCTCTCTTTATGTGATAACCAAATATAACAATGAGCTATTGTCTATCCAAAGAACACCTTCCTCTTAAGGCTGCCTTTCAACAAGAGCAGCAAACATACATTCTGGCATAAACTGTGTTTGATTTTTGGTATATATATATATATATAAACTTTATTACTACTTTTGTAGACAAACACCACCAAATAAAATGAAACAAAGAGAATAATTTTTACTAAGACCAAATAATATGCATTAAGAAAAAATGAAAATAATATGCATTCGCTTGAGTGTATCTCTTCAAGAGTGAATGCTGTGAAGTTATTCTCTTGATATTTTATACTCGTGTTTATATTTGTTTTGAATAGCGAATTGTTCGTCTCCGCCTATGGATGTTAATCTAGTAGAGCGAACAACACCAATCTTTGTACTTCCNTTGTTTTTTTCTAGTTTAAAATTCTTGTTAGAAAACTAGTCCAAAAATCTTCACAAAATGACTTCAAGTTAGGTAGACATCCTCCTTAGATTATTCTCAACAAGTCTTAACAACACTCACCCCAAAACTCTTACAAAAATCAATTCGAAATCCAAATCTATTTTTTTTCAAGCATGTTCAACAATATGAGTAGCTTTTGCTAAGATGAATTTTTACCGACTAAGTCTTAAAATATCTAGTACTTTAATCACAATTTGCTATTTCTCCCTTGTTTTTTGTGTAAAAAAATAAAAGAGAAAGATGTAAGGGATGGCAAGATATGTGCCATTTCTTGAAGAGATGAAGAAGAAGAAAGGAGAAGACAGAGAATGGGGAGAGAGACACTTATAGACTTGCTACAATGTAAAAGGAAAAAAAAGGATTGTCATGTAATTATCTTTTAACTTGTCCCTATCTTTCTTGAAAATTAGATAGGGGATGGTAAACCTTATATTAGAGTATAATCGCCCTCGGGGGCAAATGTAGATTCTTAGTTATGGGTTTATCCAAACCCAATATTTTTGACTCATGCCCCTTTTACGTATTAAAATTTACTAAATAAGTGTAAATAATTGATTTTATTTCCGGTAAATCAAGTGAATTCGGTTATAATTTCAAATAAATTTTAAATTTTGGATCCACCTTTAGCGTCTTTGTGTCAAGTTATAAAATAAAAGAATAGAATCAATGGGTCGAAAGATAGCTGTTAGACTGTTGTTAAACCAAAAAAAAAAATAAGAGTACCAACGATTATAGATATATCAAACTTACATATAACTTGGACAATTGTGTTTTAATATCCTAACAAGAATCTTGTGTAGGTGTCTCATTAATCTCTAAGTGGTCTGATTTTTCTCTTGCCTCTTCGGTGTCTCTCTTTTTTATTCATCCACTTTTCTCTCTTTATGTAATAACCAAATATAAAAATGAGCTATTGTCTCACCAAAGAACGCCGTCCTCTCAAGACTGCCTTTTCAACAAGAGCAGCAAACATACAGTTTGCCATAAACTGTGTAATGGCATTGACATTTGATTTTTGGTATGTTATATATATTTAGTTTATATGTGAAAAACTTTATTACTAACTCTTTTTTAGACAAACACCACCAAATAAACGAAACAAAGGGAGTAGTTTTTACTGAGACCAAATGATAAGCATTAAGAAAAAATGAAAATAATATGCATTCGCTTGAGTGTATCTCTTCAAGAGTGAATGCTGTGAAGTTATTCTCTTGATATTTTATACTCGTGTTTATATTTTTTTTTTTTTTTTGAATAGCGAATTGTTCGTCTCCGCCTATGGATGTTAATCTAGTAGAGCGAACAACACCAATCTTTGTACTTCCTTTGGCATGATTTTTTATTGTCTAATTTACCATCATTGTGGTACGCTTTTTCAGCACAATACATATCCCAAGATTTCAATACTAACACTATGAAGTCTATGATTAATAAAGCTGAATATGTGTAACATGTGTAAAGCATTTTGTATGCAAACTTCACTTGTTTTTGTTGGTTCAAATGGTCAGGACTTACAATCATGATGACAAATAGCCATAAAAGGCTTCAAGATGGAAAGAACAAACTTGATAGACTTACAGATCTTCCTATTAATGTCATACACGAAATTCAGGAGTACATGACTGTTGAGGATGCCGCAAGAATGAGTGTCTTGTCCAGTAAGTGGAGACATATTTGGGTTTCAAATCCAACGCTAAGAATTTCTACGGACTTTTGCAGAAAGGGAAAGCAGTCAAGCACAATAGACATCATTAATAGAATTCTATTGCATCACTATGGACCCATTAAGACATTTCTCCTCGATCTTTCAATAATAAATCCTTCTAAGCACTCAGTTATTGATCTATGGATGCTACATTTGTCAAGAAATGGTCTTGTGGATCTCACCCTCATGAATCCAAGAAATTTGAATGCTCCTTATAAGTTGCCTTCCTATGTGTATGGTATGGAACTTGAACAATTGAGTCTGTCAAGTTGCATCTTCAAGCCGCCTTGCAATTTTGGAGGTTTCAACAAGCTCAAAAGCCTTGAATTTGTTGGAGTCACCTTTGAATTAGACGTTGCAACTTCTTTCCTCTCTGTTCCAAATCTTCTAGATTTGATGTTTATGCAGTGTAGTGGTCTTCATCACTTGAATATATATGCCCCAGAACTTTTACGTTTAAAATTTTCCCATTGCGGCATTGACACAATTAAATGGATTTCCTTCAAGGATTGTCGGAAGGTAAAAATTTTTGCAGTTATACCACAACTAGAAGTTTCACAAAACAGACAACATGAAGCAATGGACTTAGCAAAACTTCTCAACAGCTTGCCTGAAATTGGAGCATTTATCTTGGACGGATACTCCCTCAAGGTAAGATGGCAATTGATATCTTTGCATAGGTCAGAATGACACCATACATAGCTGTAACTACTAATGTTCTTATTTTGGTTTTTTTGTTGTCTAGTTTTTAGCTTATGGTAATTTAGAAAGAAGGCTGTCAACTATGCTCAATCACTTGGTCAATCTCGAATTTTACGAGTTCGATTTTAATGATGAAGATCAAATTTGCTCCCTTCTATGCATCCTTAGAAGTTCTCCCAACTTGAAGTTGCTTAACCTTCTGGTGAGTTGTTGAATTCATGAGTTATTACTCCATTTCCGAGTATAGAGATGCAAATCTTACTATTCTTTCTTTATACTATTTATAGTTGAGTCGGATAAAGAAAGATTCCAGGAAAGTAGATGTAACTCAGTTGAAAGTACAAGGCTGCAGGATTGATGAACTCAATAACCTTCGAGCTCTGAAAATACATAGATTCCATGGTTCAAGAGTGGAATTGTTATTTGTAAGGTTAGTGCTGGCATCTGCGCCTATTCTCGAGAAGATGATCATTAACGTAGATGAAGAAGTTAGTGAAAGACAGGCAACTAAGATTTCTAAGATTATTGGCGTCTGCACCTATTCTCAAGCGGCTCTTACACAAGTAATATGCCAAAGGCATCAGCGTTGAAGCAGCTTTATTTTTTCTATAAATAGAGAATCAAAACAATTTATTTACTTTGTAGTCTTTATTTTATACATTTCTCTACTTTATTTACTTTGTAGTCTTTATTTTTATAACAGTTTAAGATTTTATTTAAGATTTTCTTTTTTATTATTTTCATTAGTTGCTAGGCTAAAGTCCTTTCTTGGCGGACAACTCATGGGCCCAATGTCTTCTAAAGTTTTTTGGGTTTTTACAGTATCATTTATAGTCAATATACAGTTTTTTATAGAGAAAATCTCACTTTATACCTATTAAGCTCAAAACTATTTACCTTTTAATACCCATGCCCAAACTATTTACCTTGCCTGCCCAGTCGGCCCAATTTATTTACCCGGCCCCCATATTTCAGCCCAATCTACCCATCTCTTCCTTATCTTCGATCCAGCCCATCTATTTCACCCGTCCCAAGCTTCCCACGCTTTTCTTCGTTCTTTAACAGTTAACAAGTAGAGTAGAGTACAGTTTCCAAATCTCCATAGCCAACCGATGAGAACGCAAAATTGAAACACATTCGAGTTTTAAATTTTTTTTTTCCGATTCCGTTCTATCTCTTCGTCTAGTACCTAATTTTGGGTGACATTTTTGCTTGGGGTGAAATTTTTGCTCCTGAAAGTACATTTTAGTGAAAGTGGATTTTCAAAATCATAGGATTTTTGTGTTTTCCTTTGTACTTTTGTGAATCAATGTCTATGGGTTGTTGTTTTCTCTATGGGTCGGAAGCATTGTGCGCGTAGATGGTGGCGCCGTGGACAATATCATTCTTCAACACAAGTAGCTGTTGAATCCGTTGCCTCAGCCATGTCTATTCCTAGTTTTTCCTTCTTTTCTGATTCTCAGTCTCCATTTAGTCGCAACCCTAGCAGTAGTCATGTTGAAAACACAACTGAAAATGTAGAATTAGAGGGTGAAAAAGGCAACAATATTAATGATCGTCAGTCGATGAAACTCCCTACCTGTCATTACCCGACACAAATTTCGAACCAGTCATAGGAGGTGTTCCTGCGACTGTAAGGGAAAAGGTAAAGTTGTTGAGGATTATGAGTTAGGGGGAAGCCGACGTGAATTCGTGCCTAAAACAGAGACTCAACCAGTAGATGTTGATTGTAGCGATGATTCTCAGTTAAAGAAGAGAAAAATTGGTGTCGCACCCAAGAAGGTAATTTTCTTACAATTATGATCTTTGAGATTTTTAATGCATAGTACATTGTTATTTTTGATTTCCTGTTATGCTTTTGTATTATATTATAGTTATAGTCAGTTGTGTTAATTTTAAGTGAATTCTATTTCTTCGAGTTCATTCTGTACATTTAAGAGAACTATTGTAAATTTATTACGATTTCCATTTATCTGTTTATTCCAGCTATCTGTTTCATCAATGTTTAGTGCGACGTAATAGTGTTTATAGCTGTCAAAATCCATATAGACAGATTAAATTAATGTTCTGCTTGCGGTTTAAAAAGGGTCACTGATTCAGTAGTCTGTTGTAGTCACCATATTATTGAAGCCAGAGCTGCTCTGTGTGATTTC